TCTACTGACAGATCACAAACCTTTGATTGCAATCTTTGGTTCTAAGAAAGGAATCCCTGTCTATACGGCTAATAGACTACAGCGCTGGGCAACAATGCTCCTGAGTTATGATTTTAATATCAAGTATCAGTCGACAAATACTATCGGTCAAGCTGACGCTCTCTCCCGATTAATTGGAGTTCAACATCCTGGACCAGAGGATATAATCATCGCCTCCACAACAGTAGATCCAGAAATACGAAGTATAGTGGCAGATGCCATTCGAAACACTCCAGTGTCGTCAGATGAAGTCAGGGAAGAAACGCTTCGAGACCCAACACTACAAGAAGTTAGAAAGTTCCACCTAGAAGGGTGGCCCTCGAAAATCAGTTCCACAGAGCTTCAACAGTTTTACCAACGAAGACTCTCTCTTTCAATCATCGATGACTGTCTGCTGTTTGCCGAACGTGTCATAATTCCCAAGAAGCTACAACCAGCAGTGCTTGAACAGTTGCATGCAGGACATCCTGGAATAAATCGCATGAAAGCACTAGCACGAAGTTATGTATACTGGCCGCATTTAGACACCCAACTGGAGCAGCTATCCCGTTCCTGTACCAAATGTGCATTAGCGACAAAAGCACCGCGAAAAGCAGAGCTGCAATCATGGCCAATACCACAGTTACCGTGGCAGCGTATACATTTGGACTTTGCTGGTCCACTCCATGGACAAAATTATCTTTTGGTGGTTGATGCATATAGCAAGTGGCCAGAAATTTTTCTCATGGAACACCCTACTGCAAGCTGCACAGTCAGTAAACTACGTCAACTATTCAGTCGTTTTGGAATCCCGGAATTGATAGTTAGTGACAACGGAACACAGTTTACGTCCGGAATCTTCTCACAATTTTGTCGGCAGAACGGAATCCAGCACCTGCGAACACCTCCATTCCATCCCCAATCAAATGGCCAAGTGGAACGCTTTGTGAGTACATTTAAAAATGCTCTAAAAAAATCCAAAGGGGAAGGGACCACTGAAGATATCTTAGAGAGGTTCCTGTTTATTTATCGCTCTACACCGAACCCTCAGACAATTAACGGGGTCTCTCCAGCAGAAGCTCTACTTGGCAGAAAGATACGAACACATTTCGATGCCATCCGTCCTACGCCAGCTATTGAACCCCAACGAAACCTATCGATGGAGAATCAGTTTAACCGACATCATGGGGCACAAAGACGATTGTTCACGGTGGGACAAAAAGTGCTTGCTATGGACTATCGTGGGAAACACCCTACATGGACAGCTGGTCGGATCGTGAAAAAGAAGGGGAGTGTGGTTTACGAGGTGTCAGTTGGCTCGGAAGTTTGGGTACGTCATGCTAACCAATTGAAAGCAACTTCGATAGCCAGCAACAAGATTCAATATCGATTACCTCTTGATGTTCTGCTAGACACCTTTGAAATCAAAACGCCGGGAATAGACACGTCAGTTTCTGTGCAAGAAAAGAGTGATACTTCACTATTGCCTAGACGATGGACTAATCGAAAGCACAGGCCAGTCACTCGGTTGCAGTTGGACCCTAGCACCAGATCCTACGAATCTGCTCAAAGGGGAGGTGTTAGCGGGACATAGACCGGATTAAAGCATGCTCAATGCATGATTGCTTTGGTGCACGCTGATTGGCTAATTCTTAACCAATCAGCACTAGTCGATAGTTGGAGAACACTCTAGAATCTTCTCATGTAGGATACTATAAATATACTGACGTTTTTCTCTATTGTGCTTCTGACTTCCATCTAACCTTGTTATTTGGAATATAATCTCTTCCTGTTCAACCGTGTTTTGATTTGGGGACTTGTCGAGTGAATCGGTGTCCGAGAATACTAAGCAATAGGAATAGCCGGGTCATAACCGTAAGAAAAGCGATATATAACACCTGTAGACTTCGATCTTGATTGGCTATTGTTGACTTTTAACCTGTCATTGTGTACTTCTTTGTTTGGATTATATTTTCTGTTGATTTGATCCTCGGTCCTATATTTGTCCACGGTTCTTCTGATTGGTTGATAGATTGTATCGATTTTAATTTGTTTATTAATTGCTGATTGACCTGAGTGCCAAGCTTTGGAAAATTCTCTGGTGTTTTTAGAATTTCCTATATCCAAGATCTCAGGATTTTTTTGGTCGGATGTGTATCCACAGTTGACTGATATAAGCGAGAATACTTCATGGCATTCGACCACTAATCGGTGTTCGTGCAGGCAAAGGTGAAGTGGCCATTTACTTTGTCCAATGTAGTGTTCCTCGCAGTTGGGACAATTTATGTTGTAGATGATATTCGATTTTTCTTTTGTCATTTCGTTCTTTGGACTTAGTATACACGATATCGGTCACTGCTCAGTGATTAAATAGTTCTAACCACTTCTCAATCCTACAGAACGTCAGTCTCAGCCCAAGTAATTCAGTGATAACGTCTGTTTTGACTGTGGAGCTGGGTGACATTGGTATCTAATCATCCGAGGAGTATCTGTTGTAGGATATAATTTGTCCTACAGATATACGATTAGAACTGTAAACGCGATACTGGCGATCCCAGAGTCTATGTGAAAGCTGTAGTCAGAACAAGGACAACTTGACTTTCAACTTTATTTCTAAACATAAAAACAACTAGATTAGTACAGTAATTAAAGGAATTTTAGTCATCAAGTGGAACGCACAACCATACCGACCAGTACTGCGTGTTTTATCGAAATGAGTAAAAAATTATGAGTCACACCAATATAATACTATAATAATGTCCTTCAATTTGCAGGTCAAATGCAACAGGGACAGTCGACAGACACATCCTACCGGATTGACGTGGTGGGCGCTTAAACAATGACTTGACTTCGCTACTGCCGCGCTCAAATAATCGGCCTATTCCAATAGGCACAGGTTCCGTATATCACTGCTGATCTCTTCACTTGCTGTCTTCAGCCAAACTGTTCTGACTCGTCCATCTGGACCTGTCTAACTATAGCTTTCAGCCACAGATTTCTCTGCGAGCCAGTATTGTTTATTGACACTAAATCTCCAGGTTGTAGATTTCTTCTCATGTCGCTTGAAGGGTTGGTAGGTACTCTTGTAACCATCCGTTCAAGAATAGGTTGGCTAGTTGTTGTGCTTCCTTCCATCTGTTATGTAAGCACGTTTTACTCATCTGCGCTTCATCGAATGATACACCTCTATGAACTAACAATAACTTATTTGATGCGGGTATATCCAGGTTATCACGGTCATTAACTAGCTTTACGAGTGGTTGATTGCTCAGTATTCCTCCAGCCTCTATTAAAAACGTCTCCAAAGTCTCGTCCGTCAATACTTTCTGAAACAGTAGCGATCGTTGAATCCTTCTTATCGACTTTATTATGCATTCATATACACTGCCTCAATGACTAGCTCTAGGAATGTTAAAATGCCATCCACAACCTCTTTCTGAAAGGGCATTTGCAATCTTATTTTGGTCCCAACTACACGTAATCTAAGACTAGCGTTAGCTCGTTTAAAGCTATCAGATGCACCCTTACTCTTATTATCAACTCGTACAAAGGCGCCTTTCTCAACATCATGTACGATATCACGGTGAATATGTGCTGCTGCTTCTTCAGGGTCTTAGTTACTGGCTTCTTCGGTGTCTTGACTTTCGGTTCAGTGACCTTTTCATTAGGCTTTTTGGAGTTGATTTGGGTTTAACAGCAGAAGGCATTATAGTTTTCGGTTTAGCAACCTTGGGTTTAACGTCAACAATTTTCTTTTCTGCTACTTGTCTTTGTACACGTTTAACACTTTCCTCAGTACAGAGTTCGGTATTGATGTGGACAATACTATTACTATCTCTCTGCTCTTCCGGCTTCCTGTGTAACAAGGTATGGTGTCTCCAGCCACATCCTTCGACGGCACATGACCTCGGTGCTCGACAGTTTCTTGCTATGTGGTTTGCCTTCAAACAGACACAACTTCTTTAGTACAAATTCTATCTTTTCATTAATATCCTTATCTCTAAACCTTCCGCATTGGTCTAAGGGGTAGTTTTCATTACATAATAAACATGGGAACCCAAGAGTGCTTGGTCTTACGTGTGGAGGTAGTCCTCTTAGTAATGTGTAACAGTGGGCAACACGCCAGTGTTCTAGACAAAATTAAAGATAGATTCAAAATTGTCTCTATATGTTTAAGCTGACCTCTAATATTTCAAGAGAAAACCGTCTTTGGAGTTGTAGAAATTATTATTAAGCTTTCAATAATAAAGCTTCTCATTCAATCATAGTCTTCTTCCTCAGCGCTAGAGGTTTGTCAAACGATAGAAATGTGACTTAATCGAACTCTCGAGTATAATTGATTGCTACCTATGAGAAATGATTTGACAAACATTTTAGTAATTTACTATGCTTTATTTCTATGCTGATTAAAATATAACAAGCGCTTAACCTTTAAACCACTGAGTCAGGATCCAGTATTTTATATCCCTTCCTTCAATCGATTCACAATATTGTACGACCATCTTCCATTTGCATAAGCAGGTTACTAATACCTGTCCTATAAATAGATTTTGTCTGAGATAAGGTGGTGGTTGGATGTAGTCAACAGGAGACCCTGGATCCGGATTTTGTGCTATTTGGCACTCATCAGCAAAGTGTGCCTGTAGTCTTGAGGGAACTGGTTCTCCATGACAGATGTCGAGTCACCTAGACTAGTGGCTACATTGCGACTTGGTCGATAGTATTCGATATGCACTAAAAAGGACTTGACACATATGACATTGATCACCACTGAGTGATCAATTTATTGTGGATACATCTCAGCCCTACAGAAGGTCACTCGCGGCCTGGATAGCCCAGTGGTAACGTCTCTGACCTGCAACCACCACCCAGTGATCAATCATTTGTGAATAGATTTTGTCTTCATATTTCGATGTATATTCATAATTCCAGCCAAGATGAAATTGATAATTCATTGGATAATAATTTTTGTTCTGTTCTAGCGTCGATTAGAATTACATCGACGTCGCGGACGTTTGTGGGCACATTTACGTCGAAATAAAGAAGAGGCTAGACGTTGGACACGTCTAGTTGAAATGTTTGTAACTAATGGTCTAGAAATAATGGATCCACAACCAATTTATCCAGCATTAGCATCTCTTACGGGATCGAGAACACAATTTTTGATAAAAGAAAAAAAGGTTTTTGATGTATTTTTCTCACTCTGTGATGTGATATCAAGAAAGCCCCATTTTTTTGTTGTATCGATGCTCATGTGGTAGGGCCGCTATTATAGGAGTAGTTATATGTTATATAGTTCGATTATTGATTTATTCGCCTAGGTTGAATGTTAGACTTACTTACTTGCTTTTTCTGACAAGTAACTCAATGACATTGAGATAGCGGCTGAAGTACATACTTAACACCGATTAACCCAGGAAACAGTTTCCCACACTCACCTACTCAAAGGCCAAAACAGAACAACACAACAGGTAGAAAAACCTCTGCAGTACCACACAATTCAGTTCATGACTCAGAATTCATGTGATTATATAGATTAGTTATCTGACAGCGCATCAGCATAAATAAGAAATTATAGTACGAACGAAACTATATTATACGTGGAAAAGAGAATACGTAATCGATTCGTAATTACCTCCGGAAAATTCCCATTATATTAAAAACGCAGTTGTATGGACGAAGAATATTCTTTTCAATAATTTCTCATCAGGTTCTACAATTATAAATCCAAATTAATAATCCATAAAATTGACCAGATTTAAGACAGAGTACATCATTTGGAAATTGTAATATGTGAGTTAAGAATTGTTGTTTGTTATATAAAATCAAATCAGATCGTTAATGTTGGGGCTGACTAATCGTAATTAATTAATAATAACTTGAGGGAGTCAAAACTGAACAATAGTACACGACAGAACAATACATCCATATGTTATCTTCCTCTCAGTCTTGAATTCCAATTTCTATCCATGTATGCTTTTCCATTCAGGCTTTTCGAACCTTACTCTTAAGACTTAGTCTTTCTTCTAATTTTTGCTACTAGATTATTTCGATCTAATTTGCTGTTTTTATTTTGTGGTGCTATTCAGGTAATGTCAGTTCGGGCGAATGAACATCTGTATCATATTTTATGTTGATTATATATATACTCGGCTTCCGACTATACTGTTTACTTTACTTAAAGGCTACTCTCAAAATTTTTCTTTAGTTTTACTCATATAGAGAAGACTACTTCCACATGAGCTACAAATTTTCCTCATCATTTAAAAAAGAAATTTATCACACTCTTCCTTCTTTCTTTGCTGATATTTTCTAGGTCATATTTGGTCGTAATTCATTCGTTTATCAACCGCATATCGATTTATCAATGGAAGGTATTGACAGTGGACGTATATCACGTTGCCATGGTCAAATACGCTTAAGTAAAGATGGTATATTTTGGTTAACTAATTTTTCATCTCATACTGTGTATGTTGATGGTAACCCGATACTGACAGGTGAGTACTTGACGGTAATAATGTTTTTCTTTTCACTTTCTGTATTTATGAATTTATTATGCGTGTGTATAGACAGATTGTGATTCTGACTTTAAAAATTGTCATCGTGTAAATTAGAACATGAATAGGAGGGCAATATTGTTTTCAAATGAGTTCTTCGTCAGGTTTTACTCTCATATATACCGATATAAAAATAAAAAAATAAATATTTTGTTTTCACGATATAAACGATAGTACGACTAGCGATCAAGGTTTTGCTAATACTATACTGGATACTAGATCGATATGATACAAAACAGATTGAACCACGTTTTAACAGATACATGATTCACAACCAAAATAAGAGAACCAGAGCATAGATTAGACAATACTTTATTCAACACAATTACAAAGCGGTCTACACTTATTGAGTTCAGAACAGAAATCATTAATAGGAAGGAAAATCACCAAGTGTAAGCCGAGTATCTGTTTGCCTGCGCTCAGTGACCAATCATATCTTACTTCCACTAGCCATACACCATATATAAAATATATTTTTATGGGCATAAATGAAGAAGCATTGAATTGATCACGGCAGTTTACGGATAGATGGTAGCTACGACGCACGTTGCGTAACCAAACGTAGTCATTAAGAAATACAAATACGGATCGTAAGGTAGTGTTAGGACTAATACTTGAGTTAGTGTTTCAACATAGGAAATAGGTCAGAGACTTGGGAAAACAAACGTTAACAAATTAGTGTGAAACTCAATAAATGTATTCACTATATAAAGAGAGAGGAGCATTTTTAGTTCACATTTGTACGTAACGAGCCATCTTTTCCGTTTATTTTCTAGGTGAAATGTAATTCATTGTCACATTTATAAAAGTAAAAGTGATTGTCAAGTGTACTACACCATAAAACTAACTTCATATTGATAGTGATGATAGTTCATGTACGGTTCTTTTCTTTTCATCTGAGTGACTCATCAATCACAACTTTGTATCAATGTTCTCTCGTCACGTAAACTATCTGTAACCTACCCAGTAATCATACTTGTTTCTCAAGGAAAGTGAAAATAGGAGGAAACAATCACTCAAGTCGAAGAATTAGAATTAATAGGCAATTTAAAACGTCGGTGAAGGCTCTGACAAGATAAAAGTCGTCTGATCACATTGAGAAACAATGCGGACTTGTTTGGGATGCGATTCTCTCCCTCTAAACACAAAGTGTTACTTCACTGTCAGCACGCGAATTAATGATAGGAAGGGAAGTAGTTGAAAGTATCGAATACTTAACTTGAGTCCTGATAATCTGATGTTTGACAAAATCTTGGCACGAATTCAGAAAATCCGTTGACTTTTTTCAACTTCGGTCACCTGTGGCATAGGCGAGATTATCCACTTCTCAAATGATGGGCGACTTCATTACTCAGCATTTTGCTCAGTCCTACTTTATGAGTGTGAAACATGGTGATTAAGAATAGAGGATATTTGTAGGATACTAGTACCCAATCATAGGTGTTTTCAAAGTAATACTCATATAATTTAGGACTATAGAGTTAGCGATTCTAAGCTTAGACTCACAGTAGTCGGTATGTCAGGTCGACTGACGGGGTAGTGAATACTTGGGGTTAGGATATATACAACTCATGGACAACTAAAGGAAGATGCGCAAATAATGTGTTTAATGTATGCTTTTCATATTTTACTTTGCCATTGTGTGATTTCACGTTAAACAATAAATTGGTCATCCCGACTAATTCTTTGTTCACTTCACAACAACATTACGATCCCCATTTTCTGTATTCTGGATTTGAGGAGATTGTAGGATCTTAACAACTTATGTCATGAACATTTCTTATGTTGATCACCGTTGGATGCCGGGTGATTCGTCTAGAGGTTTCGTGTTAGCACGCAAGAACTGGGGTTCATGGTTCGACCACCGGATACGGGTTCATGGATGCGGACTACTACCTGAGCGAAATAGCTATGCAGTGCTTCCTGGTTTCAGTGGATGCGTAAATTAAGTCAGTTCGTGATATCAATATTGTTAGTCCGTGCTTATTTCTGTGTTTATGCGGAATCTGGGATGGCCATTCCATCTGTTTATGTGGTCTCAGTAACCTGGTTGATAACGCTTTAGACATTTGAAGAGGAAGGTATTTAGTTTGACTCCTAAAGTGAACAACGACTCTTGGATACGGGCACATCCAGGTGACGAGTCTCAAGTAGGACGAAATGCGAGTTCACAATTTCATTAGTAGCCACATTCTATCAGTTTTATGGATCTGTGCTTTATGTAGTTGAATGTATTCGACAGGAAACTCTGAGACATTTTTGTGCTCATTGTCGGGCTTTTTAACAAAGAGCACTTGCTGCAATCTTCACGGAAACTGATATTAATCTATGAGATTCGGACCCATATCTTTAGATGAACATAACACTGGTTACTTGCACTCAGATATCAATCGATTTAAATATGTTTATTTACTCATCTTTGTCTTATATGAGAAGCCTTGTGACGTCATACTACCTTTCTACCCTAACAGAAATTAGTATTGTTCGGGTTTGAACTTATAAACCTCTGGTTTTGACCCAGATATATGATCCTTATAAACTCACCTTTTCTACTTACAATGATTTCTTAATTGAGTTATCTGACTTTTATTACCTCCTTACTAACACTTCACACTCCATCTTCTGAATATTAGATTGATGTTTTTGATATCCAAATAAGTAGGAGATTGTGTTCCTGATGTTTCGTAGCTTAATGTAAGTCACTTTTTCAAAGTAAATAAATGACCAAAATGTTTGTATGGTAATATATCATATTGCACTACATAACCCGACCGAAGCTGCTACCTTGACGCGGTGGTCGGGCTTGCCTATCGTGATGACCCAACCGAGCTATATTGGCTGGAATATATGTTCCTGTAGGTTCTACCATGCCAGGCAGGTCGATTGGTGAACGGTAAGACTAAAAGCAGCAACTCAAGGTCTGAGGGCGAAGTCGTACTGCTGACTGTAGAGAGGTGTGACAGCAGTAAGGTGTTTCCCTCGGACAACCAGCATCTGCAGCGATGCTGCCTTCCCACAAGGAGGGGTGGGGTTAGAAAAGGTCGACCCTAAAAATGTCACACCTCACCTTGCCTCACGGATTTCCGTCTCTGGCGGCCCTTTGGAGAATGGAGCTAACACGTCAAAAACCTTCCACAAACATGCCGTGCGCGACCGGCCTCAAGCAGTTGTCCCTTGGGCTCTGCGGTCACGCTCCCAGGTCGTCAAGACCAACACTAATCCAATTTCCTTTTCAGGTTCCTCAAGAAATACCCTTCCACAGTGTGGGCAGCCAGGAAGTGATATCAGCCCTCATACCCGTAACAGCACACGAGACCAAGTTGGTCACATTCAAATCCTTCCTACACCTCCTAATACCTCTCTTATCTCCATGATTAACCCTCCTCGCACTGCTAGGGCAAACGATTCGAGTACGTGGAACGTTATTCCTGGTCTCCTGAAACCACGCTCTAAACTACACGTAGGAGCTTTTAACGTCTGAACACTGTGCCAAATAGGACAGCAGACTTCTTTAGCTAGGACTTTAGAATCCCGCGCCATCGATGTGTGCTGCGTCTCCGAAACGCGCATACAGGATCCGAGTAGCGTCATTCATCTGACCTCACCATGCCAAAATAAAGAACCGACTCGATTTACGCTTCGTGTATCCGGAAGCCCGGATTCTGCTTCCCGTGGCCTCGCCGGCGTAGGTGTAGTATTGAGTCCTAGGGCAGAACTAGCTCTCTTAGAGTGGATCCCAGTAGACAGCCGTTTGTGCGCTGTCCGACTGAACGGAGCAGTAAGGATCCGAAAAGATAGGGACACTCGTCGTTGCCTCTGCCTATTCTCCCACTGACTGCAGCACAGATGATGTAAAAGATGAGTTTTACATAAAGCTTTCCGACCTCCTCCTAAAAGTTAGGCGCTCGGATGTGGTAATGGTGGATGGTGACTTTAATGCTCAAGTAGGTAAACTAAGCGAAAGGGAAAGACACATGGGTGGATCTTATGGTGTCGCGGCTCAATGAACAGATAATGACGACCGTCTGTTGCAGCTATGCTCAGATAACCGCCTCTTTCTTGCAAATACTAACTTTAGGCATAAGGAAAAACATCTTTTAACATGGCGACCCCCTGATTCGTCCCAACGTTGGACCCAAATAGATAACATCGCTATCAGCCACCTCTGGAGAGGCTCGATAGAAGACTGTCGCTCATTCTGGAGCACATGCTTAGATTCAGATCATGCTCTAGTACGAGCGCGTATCTGTCTGCGTCTTACTGGACGTAGGAATGACGCTTCAATTAAACCTCTTAGGGCCCTACTTAATGATAGTCAAGCTAAGAGTATATTTCAGGAACAACTAGGAAAACAGTTAGGGAGACATGTATGTGATGCCCACCCCGATGCAGCATGGAATGATATCCGAAAAGCTGTGGAAACAGCAATGTTGTCTGCTAGTACGGTAACCCGTAAGGTTAGGGAGAAACACTGGATCTCAACAGCATCTATCGCACTGATAGATGCTCGGAAACTCATTCCACCTGGCTCTGAACATAATGAAGAGCGAAGTCAGCTTAAGCGCAAGCTGACAAGAAGTATACGCAATGATCGTGAACAGTGGTGGGTAGCGAAAGCACGACAGATGGAAAAGGCAGCGGTAATAGGTAATAGCAGACAATTGTTCAGACTTGTTAAGGGAACCGGTATTAGAAAACCGACTGTTAGCGAAACAATCTCAGAGAAAGATGGACATATTATACATTCTCAATCCAGGAGATTAGATCGATGGGCAGACCACTTCAGGGATCAGTTCAACTGGCCTTCAGCCACACTTCTGTTTCCCACGCTCTCCAGTCAACTTGAATGGCAAGTTGATGTAAGTCCTCCAACCCTTTACTAAGCTGAGAAATTTATAAGAAATCTGAAGCGTAGGAGAGCAGCGGGCCTTGACAGGTTTACTCCTGAGATTTTTAAGGATGGTGGTTCAGTATTAGCAGCGAGATTGACTGAGGTCTTAGGTAGAATCTGGGAACTGGACGTAATCCCATCTGACTGGTCTTAATCACTGATTGTGCCAGTCTATAAGAAAGGACGAAAGTCCTCTTGTGACAATCACAGAGGAATCAGTTTAACTAATATAGTGTCTAAAACATTAGCTTCAATAATACTTCGACGCCTAGCCAAAGCTCGTGAAGAACAGACTAGAGAAAACCAGGCTGGTTTTCGACCTGGACGTGGTTGTATAGATCAGATATTCACACTACTTCAGGTTCTAAAACATAGACACACATTCAGACGCCCCACAATGGTAGTATTTCTTGACCTTAAGGCAACATTTGACTCTGTTGATTGTAAGGTTCTATGGCAGTGTTTGTCACTGAAAGGAGTACCAATGAAGTACATTAACCTTATAAAGGCTCTCTACTCGAACACAACTGGTCGAGTGAGAGCTTATGGCGAACTGTCATCAGAATTGATCACCTCAAGCGGTGTTCGTCAGGGCTGTCCACTCTCTCCATTCTTGTTCGACTTTGTCGTCGACGTACTTTTAGAGGTAACACTTTCCTCGTCTAGATTTCCAGTGGTTGAACTTCTACCGGGAGGTTCACTTGTTGACTTAAAATATGCTGATGACATAGTTTTATTTGGTGAAGACGCTGACAAAATGCAGAGTCTTCTGACCACTCTAAGCAACAAAGCAAGCATGTTTGGGATGCGATTCTCCCCCTCGAAATGCAAAACGTTGCTTCAGGATTAGGTTGCATTGACATCCGAACTAATGATAGAGAGTGAAGTAGTTGAGCCTGTCGACCGCTTCACTTATCTTGGAAGTCTCATCAGCCCTTGTGTTCTGGTGTGTGACGAAATCTCAGCACGGATACAGAAGGCTCGACTAGCTTTTGCCAACTTACGTCATTTATGGCGTAGGCGAGATATCCGTCTATCAACCAAAGAACGTGTTTACTGCGCAGCAGTTCGTTCCGTCCTACTTTATGGCAGTGAAACATGGCCGGCAAGAGTAGAGGATATTCGTAGGTTACCAGTATTTGATCATAGGTGCCTTCGAAATATTGCTCGTATATCCTGGGACCATCGAGTAAGTAATGCAGTTGTTAGGAAACGGGTACTAGGTAAGGATGGCAAATCAATTGATGAAGTAATGGAACTTCATCAGTTGAGATAGCTGGGACACGTGTTACGTATGCCCAACCACCGACTGCCCCGACGTGAGATGTTTTATGGTGTTAGAGTTGGTTGGAAGAAAGCTAGGGGCGGACAGACCAAAACATGGCACAAGTCCATGAAGTCACTGACAATTAGACTGAGTCATATTGGTAGGTGTAGACTAGCTGGTTGGGGACCGCGAGATGATAGCAACCGATTATTAGAGACTTTGAATGACATGGCTCAAAATCGTTTGCAGTGGCGCAGGTGCATCCAAATTTTGATCTCCCTATTTCTCCTTGTATCTTTTTTTCTCTTTCCAAATTTATTTCACTGTATTATACTCTTTAAGTAACATCTCCAAACACTAATACTCTTATTACCTCTACCACTATAAGATTTGAATCGACCACTGCATCTCTGTGCTAATGTGGTGTGGCAACTCGGACTGATGTATGTACGTACGAAGTTCTACGTGGTTACTGATTGACTGCACTACATAAAGTCGTGTTAGTTTTATTTCGGTCGTTTATTTACTTTGAAGTAGTGACTTACATTAAGTTACGAAACGTCAGAAATACGATTTTCTACTCATTGGGATATCACAAAAGTCGATTTATTGTTAATCTTCTGCCCAATGGTCAATTTCTTTAAAACTATCAAATCCTACCTTGGCATTGATCCTATCGTTTGGTGTTTATCCGTTCATGCGCTATATCACTATTAACATTCATACGCAATTAGCCGTTACTCATCGTGCAAATAAGTACTGATTTCTTTTAGTTCCAGAATTGAATCTTTTTTCTTCTACTTGTTTAGAGCAATTAGTAACACTCATTTTCAGAGTGTTTTTTCCGTAGGTTTCATACTTGTAATTTGTTTTGCATGATACTACTTTCTTATTTACATAACATTCCATTGTGATATATAGTATCTTTACAAATTAGAAATAAATACTAATTTACATTCTGATACAATATACACATAATTTAGCCATTATACAACAAATAATAGTTTTACGTTCCATATTTAAAAATTGTTTATGTTTGCATCTGTTTGTGTCAGTAGAGTTTATGTGAGGAAGCTCAATATCACACATCCTACACAGCTGAATTAGCTTGAAATATACAGTTCATAGTACTTGTGTGTTTGTGCGTGGAAATCCTGGCAGTACATTTGGAGGTGATGCATACTTAAAACACCGACTCGTTCGATATGGCATTGTTACGTTTTATTGAGAGAATAAGGATGCGGGCAGAGATATCTAGTAATAATAAGTTTGAACTCCGTAATAGCAGTCTCCGGATTACGGCGGTTCATGTAGCAATGAGATCAGCGGGAATCGAGTTAACCTCGAAACAGATGCAATCTTACGTCAACCATTCATTGTCTAGCTACTGTGAGGTGTGTGAGTGAATTGATCGATCTATACCGCCGTTGCTGTCAGTAATCTCTAAGGAACAAACGTTACGTGATGAATCTTCCCATACTTATCTCGTAGAAGTGCAAATAATATTAAGTAATTGTCCTATTAGCACCCTCGACTCAAAAAGTCAATCATAAACTTAGCCTTTCTCAGAATAGTTCACCCCTGTTAGGAGTGTGATGGTGTTACAACCGAGAGTAGAATCAGAAATAAATACTCTAAAGAATATTCTTGTTAATGTATTCTGTTAAAGGTGTTTGACAGAATATTCACCATCACTGCAAGTTCAGCAAAAATAATCAATAAGTGTAAACGTTTTGATTGTTGTCCGTTGGTCGACGTATTAATGCAAGAATAGGTCACTGTTTCTATTGGCAACATAGATGAACTAATCGATAATCAGACTCCCAAATATCATGAAATCGCCTTGCAGTCATAACGATGCGATCAGACGGGATCTAATACAACTCCGTAGCTGATTATATTTTTTCCTATTCTTATACTGACATTACTTTAATTTTTATTGCGGACGTTAGATCTACAGAACTCACTTGTAAAAAGTCCTAATTTTGTACTTTTATTTTGAAAATTTGAATTTGTTTGTTTTCGCGCCAAAAGCGCTCTTTTCACCTTCATGTCGTATTTCCCACTTGGGAGAATCTTGAACGCTATTGATCCGTTGTATCTCTTAGTATGCTATTTTGTAACGCTTCCCAAGGACCGTTTTGTTCTGTATATATATGTTTTGATTTGTGTCTGTTGTGATCGCCCCTGCTTCTGGCTTTTTGCGGAATATACTTCCCCGTTCGAACTTTGACTTCTCTCTCTAGTTAGCGGGGCTGGGACGCAATAGAATAGCTAGTTTATTGGTCCTTGGTTGCAAGTCTTTGTTCCGTTCGCAGTCTAAGTGAACTCGTAACCGCTTCAAACATAGCAAATTTACACGCTATGAACGTACAATATATTAAAGATACGTTTGTTTGTTCAGACTATAGTTGTAAAACCCAAACTCTGATCTTATACGGTATTATAGAAATGTGATCTTAAAGAAGAGGATACATAATTGTAGGCGAGAAACAATTCTACAATCTAACCACTCAGTCATATCCTCAATGGTATCAATGAATTGGATAATAATTTTTCTCTTTCCCAAATATAATCAATCCCGCGACATTATGATGGAATTTTCTTTAATCTCAATGATTAAAATGAATATTTGCTCCTGTCTGTTTGTTTAGTTTAGTTAACGGTTGTCAGGGTTCTGTGTATGGTTGTGCACTTTTAAGTCGTCATTTTCCTTATTCGTAGATGAAATTGTGCACCACATTCAAAAAGCATTGATTTACAATCATTCCCCAACTTTGGTATTAATTGTTTTATGTCAGCCTGTAGTAACGAAAATTCTGTAATCTGCAAAATGGTACTGATGGGCAGAGCCAGGATTACAAAGATTCTGATTGCATGTTGATTTACAGACATCAACTATTCCGTCATATTTTCAATAATTAATAAACCTATCGACTAATTGTTCCAGGGTTTATTTTGTTTTTTACCTTGTTTTGTTCTCTTTTTCTAGACGAAGAAGTTGAGCTGAAGGATTTCGCAACAATTTTAGTTGATCATATCACATTGAGATTTGATGTGAATCATGATTACGTGAATTGGATATGTAGCGATGATAGTACCACTGCCACCACTACTAATAGTATATTTATTTATAGTTGTGGTAATGATAATAGTGATACGAGCCATTCCATTAAAAATAATCATTATGACGGCGACAAAACTCTCATAATAACATAGAGGGAAGTATTTCAGAAGAAACTCAACTATTCGTCAATAGTCAGAGTGAACTATCAGAAACCCCGAAATTAACAGGATTGTCAGGTTTTAAACATCCAGAAAATTAGTGATCGATCACCTTCAAGTGAATAAAAATAATCCTAGACTCATAATATTGTTATTTGGTAAAATGTATTTTAATTTGTGTGAGTTGTTTTATTTTCATAAGAAATATTCTGCTCTGATGTGTTACTGTTAAGCTGTCCATCGGGAAGTAATTTCTCTATATTATGGTCGTTTGTGGGAGACGACAGTGTGTTTTACTATATAGTGATTTGATTGATTCACAATTTTGTCAGGTTCCTGTCTGATATATAGGTTAGATTATACTAATTAAAATCAATAAATTCATCCACTGATTTATCTTGCTCTGTCTCATTAATATTATTCTAACGCATTCAGTCAAAATAGAACTGATCCTAATTGTTTAGAAGCGGTAGTTATTAGGATGTTTCGTCCTTGATCTGTCTACCCACTTTTGTGCAGAGGATAACTTGTGTATTCTAGATTAAGACCTTGACGCGGTAGGCTGACTGGATTAACCTTGAGGCTAGCATGTGGGAGTTCGAGGTGAGACCAACTGCTTGAGATAAACAGACGAAAACTGTTCTATCACCTGCTTGGTTGACAAGCACGCGAGTGAGAGAGGACAAGTCAACTGGAACACTACTCGATTTATTCCTAATTCCGATCTGATTCCCGATTTCAGATTAGTGTAAAAAGATACATGAAGAAATAGGTAATTAACCAGACTACAGCGCACAAACAATTGGGAAAATACAACCATGTCCAGAGCTAGGGATTAGAGTAGAGTCAGTCAGTCACTCAGCTACAACGTAGGACCAGGCACATATATGCATCGGTCCAAGTTGCCATACCTCATTAACACAACAAGATGGACACCGGATTCATAAAAGTAGTTAATTCAGAGGTGGTAATATATAAATGAAAAATTGCATATAAGGATACAGTATAGGAAGAAAGAATTAGTTAGTAGAAAGAAAGAAATGAAGCGATTTGAATCTCTTAGTTTAAGGGAAGACAGAGCGTGTATACACCGACGCTACTGTGATCGATTCTGAGCCATGTCACCAAGAGTCTCCAACCATTGCTTACGATAGTCACGCGGACCCCAACCAAGTATTCTGCATCTACCAACATGGTTAAGACTAAAAGTTGGTGACTTCAAGCACTGATGCCACGTTTTGGTTTGGCTGCCCCTAATTCTCTTCTAACCATCCCCAACACCGGTTAGCATTGCACGTCGTGTTAATCGGTGTTCAGGCATATGTGACACGCGGACCAACCATCTCAGTTGATGAAAATTCTCAACTTCATCAACTGATTTACCATCATTACCTAATACCCTGCGTCTAACCTCACTATTACTTACCCAGTGATCCTCGCAGATGCAAGCAATATTTCACTCTGGATGGTGAGCAGATAGAAGTAGTTGAGAAGTTCGTGTACCTGGCGGTGTGAGTGATGAGATCAATGTACGTATAGTGAAAGCCAGAGCGGCTTATGCCAATCTGGGCCATCTTTGGCGCCTTCGTGATGTTAGTCTGGCTGTAAAAGGTCGGATCTACAACGCGTCGGTGAGAGCAGTTTTGCTCTATGCTTGTGAAACCTGGCCTCTGAGAGTTGAGGATGTTACACGACTCTCTATGTTCGATCATCGTTGTCTCCGAAGGATTGCTGACATACAGTGGCAACACCATGTTAATAATGCAGAGGTTCGGCATCGGGTGTTCGGGCACAGAGACGATAATGCAATTGGTGTCACCATCTTGAAACACCGACTTCGTTGGCTTGGACATGTTCTACGAATGTCGTCCCAGAGAATTCCACGTTGTGCACTATTTGCCGACTCTGGGACTGGTTGGAAGAAGCGGAGAGGTGGTCAGTGTATGACATGGCGTCGTAGTATGAAAGAAAGCTGCAAAGGACTGGCTTCTGTTGGTCCTTCATGACTCCCTGGCTGGGGTCCGAGAGATGGTGCGACACAGTGACTCAGAATAGAAGCCAGTGGCGGTCCTGCTGTAATCTTTTACTTTCTTCATAAAAAAAGTGGTTGTGTCTTCCTTAACTGAAAGATTTCTTCTGATTGTACCTTTTCGTTCCCCCATTTTACCATTATTATAATTACACCACCTTACATCAATCTCTTTGTTATTATTCTCTCTTTTCCTTCCCCTTAAATTCTCATTGTTTTGTGTGGCGCATTATTGTACGAATAGTTATGTGTTCAAATAAATCTGAATAAATAACTTGAGGTTGCGAATTCAGTTCCTCATAAGCTATGACTCGACTAGTAGTGTTAGAGTAAAGAACCTTCAAAAGGTTTATATACTTCTGAAGTACGCCTTTCAATGACAGACACTGCTACAGAATCTCGCGGTCTACCGAGTCAAATGCTGCTTTTAAGTCAAGAAAGACCACCATTGTCAAACGCCTATGAGTATGCCTGTGTTCTTGAACCTGACGAATGGTGAATATGTGGTCGATACAGCCACGACCAGGTCTGAAGCCAGCTTGATTCTCTCGTGTTTGCAGTTCACGAGTCTTTGTTACGCGTCCGATAATTATTGATTCTAGTAATTTAGATGCTATGTTAGTCAAACTAATCCCTTTATGGTTGTCACAGGATGATTATGACCCTCTCTTATATATTGGGATGATAAGTGATTGTGACCAGTCAGATGGGATTTTAGCTAAAATATTAGTCAACCTAATCGCTAAAATTGGACCACCATCCTTAAAGACCTCTGAAGCCAATCCATCTGGACCAGCTGCCCTTCCTCGTTTCAGATTAACTATAGCCTTTTGAACTTCAGCTACAGTCGGGGACCTACTTCAATGTTCCATTCACACTGTCTGGAAATGGAGGGTAGTTGTATAGTAGCTGAAAGCTAGCGCAACTGTTCTCTAAAATGTTCCGCCCATCGTTCTAAACGTCTGGACTGGGAGTAGATAGGAATGTCGTCTTTTTCCGAGATAGTCTCACTTACACTTGAATTTTTAGTTCCAGTTTTTTTTGTTAGTCTAAAAAGCTCTCTGATGTTACCTACAGCCACTACCTTTTCCATCTTTTTTGCTTTTGTTGCTGACCACTTCTCACGGTCGTTCTTTAGACTGTTGGTCAACCTTGATCTGATTTGCTTTCGCTCTTCATCGTGTTCAGAGCCTGACGGGACGAGTTTACGAGAATCTATCAGTACAATGGACCTTGAAGAAATCCATTGGTTCTTTTAACCCTGTGGTTTAAGTACTAATAGATGTCACTGCTTTTTCCACAGCTGTTTGTATATCTTTCCAATCAACATCTGGGTCAGCCTCGTTTTCAGAACTACCTAAGTGTGACCTCAGTTGTTCCTGGAATCTACATTTGGTTTTCTCGCTACTCAATTCACTTCTAATGGCTCATTTTAGTGTTGCTTTTTTGCGTCCAGTGAGGCGCAAGGAGATGCGTGCTCGTATTAGAGCATAGTCGGAGTCTAAGCAGGTATTTCAAAATGAGCGAAAATCTTCCATCGATCCATTTAGCCGAACAGCATATAAACGACTGTTAACGGGGCCCCACTCTAACAGCGCTTGTTCCGCCCCCATGCTTAGTGCTATGCCTACACCTGCCAGTCCACAAGAACTGGTCATCGGGTCTCCAGATACACGGAGGGTTTAACTCGTCGGCTCTCCCTTTTGCCGAGGTGAGGTCAAGTGAATGACCACACTGGGATCCTGTATGCGTGCTTCGGAGACACAGCATAAATCAATGGTACGAGATTCTAGGGTTCTAGCCAAGGAGGGCCGCTGACCGATTTGACATAGTGTGCATGAGTTGAAGGCTGAGATGTGTAGTTTGGAGCGTGGTTTCAGTAGACCTGGGAATGTTTTGCGCACTAGAATCGTTGGTTATGGTGACACTTGAGGAAGAAGTCTGTTATGACCTTGACGTCTGGTTTTTCTATCACACGAATTATCTACCAATCCGAATACGACTTATACGAATATTCACACTAGGCCAACCAATGACGTTCAACCGGTGTGTGCTTGAGGTCGGGCATACACGACATTTTTATGAGTAATTTTTGTGTTAGCTCCGTACTTATTGAGACCTTACCGTCGGAGACGGATATCCGTGGATAAGGTGAGGTGTGCATTTTTAAGGTCGACCTTTTCAAACCCCACCCTTCCTTGTGGGAAGGCAGCATTGCTGCAGATGCTGGTTGTCTGAAGGAAACACCTTACTGCCGTCACACCTCTGTACAGTCAGCAGTAGGACTTTGCCTTCGGACCTTGGGTTTACCGCTTTCAGTCTTGTTGTTCTTCAACCGACTTTTCTGACATGGTAGAAACTTGAAAAACGATTGTTCCAGTCAGCGTAGCTCGGTTGCTTCATCACGATAGGCAAGTCTGACCACCACATCAATGTAGCAACAGCGGTCGGTGATTAGAGTAGATTACGTTTAAATTACAATAGCTTTAGAACATAAAAGGCTATGACAGTGAATCATACATCAAACGAAAGCTTATGACCTTCGTAATAGTCTAGTTTTACAATTGTTGTTGGGATCAGACATTAACACCATTAGATGCAAGCTCAGTTGTCCAGCAGAATAAGCGTTGGCCTACGAGACTGAAGACCATGGGTTCGCGTCATGCGAGTGGATGCGCACTGCTGAGGAGTGTCGCTGGACCGGATGAAACACGAGTAGACGCCCTAATCCGATATCAACAGACTGGATTCCATTGCTTAATTCACGGGAGAATGTCTAACAGCTCAACACACCATTACAAAATCAACCTCAGATTTAGTATAAGGATAATCCTACTGTACGTGTAAAGAAATCTCCGAAATTACCAGGAGGATCTTAAAACGTTTTGGAATCAAAATTCCTTAGAAACCAATATAATCATCCCAATCTATCTTATGTAGAGCAAAAAGCACAAAAGCGAAAGAAGACATGTTCAATGCCATCAAATAATAAATTGTACAACTGTGACAAACATTACATTCGATAAAGTGAACTCCTTTTTACCCTACGCATATACGTCTACTAACTCTCTCTGAAAGGACGCAATATACTGTCACTGATAGCCATGCTTGTGGACAACTACGGAAATGAATTTAATGTGCGATCATCGAAGGTTTGTATCGTAGGAACTCTAAAGCTTGAAGCTTGATAATTAGGTGAGTCAGCAATCCATAGACACAGATTTATACCTGATCTAACAATCCATTTGAAACAAAATTAAATGTCAACAGAAGTAAACCGTTAACTTGAGCATAAAGACATCTAAAGACAATGAAACATACAAGGAAACCAGTTATAATTAAGACCAACAGAAAAGACTGGTAGACTAACTGAAGTGCTTATTTGTACATAAAGAAATACTGGATGATCACTGAGTTGTTAGATATTCGGAGACAGTC